TATATATATATTAAAAAAAAAAAAAAAATATATATATATATATATATATATATAGGGTTGGGTACAGACCGAATTGCGTCGGTACTACAGAGTACCGATTCACGTTAAATCAATCGGTGCCAAATTTCGGTACCTGAGAACGCATCTGGGCGCATACGCTACAGAGAGAGAAAGAGAGACCCTGTGACATGATGTCACCCCTGCAACTCGTTCAATCACACAGGGCAAGCCGAAATGTTGTGAAGTGTGGTTACATTTCTAGGGCAATATGGTTTCTGCGTAAACACGGATGGGATCGTGGAATCCATTCATAAAAACGTGATTTACTCTATAGCGCGGAATGCCATGGAATTCGTCAATTTTGGCGAATTAATCAAAAGTAGCCACTGCCACATAATTCGAATTGCGATATGAACTAGTGTCTGTGAATATTAAAATGCAAAAAGACGGTTTAAATATGAATCCTGCACGTTCTGCTTGCCTCTGTATGTATGAATGGACCCTGTTGTTCAAAATGTTGAAATTGAGACTTTTGGACTTATTTTTTCACTGAAATAAACGTTTTTTTGTAATTACACACTGAGTAAAGTATCGAAAAATGGTACCGTTGGGTACCGGCACCGAAATTCAAGTACCAAACCATTAAAATGTGAACGGTACCCAACCCTAGTCAATACCAGCAGCGTGATGCCACGCAAAACACAAGCACATGCTGTGTAACCCAGATCTATCCCAATTGCTCCATCAATACATATTTAATACAAATAAACCAATTAGCTTCGATGGGCAGCCATTTCACATGTCTGTGTTGTCTGTATCCGTAGCCGATATTAACTGCAAGCGAAAACAACAGGCAGCAGGGAGTATTGGCTTTCAAAAAGAACGATCATTATTGACACATACATGTTCACCTGATCACAAATGCAGGGTAATGCAACGCTGGTGGCAGGCTGGAATACAAAGCCTGAAACCCTAGTTACCATGGCAGCATCCCAAACCAATTCCATACCATTCCCAATTTAGAACACAATGCATGAATCTCCACACATTCTAAAGCGGCATATCTAGTACTTCCAGACGACTGCAACATATTCCAGACCACCAGGTTGGAATTCAAAGCATGAAGCTCCTCAGTTACCATGGCAGTATCCCAAGCCAATATATACAAGACTGTTCCCGGTAATACAACATATGAATCCCAGCAGTTAGGCCTACTTAACCAGCATTTCTAGGATCTATTACACCAGTATACTCATAACGTCCAGCAATCCAACAATATTATATTCACTACAATGGCAATTCTCGTTGTCTAATATTGGATCTACCAATAAGCGACCAATTTGGGGAGTAATAACAATACAATAAAACATAAAAAATACAAATGTTTCATTATGGGTCAAAAAAATAATATCAGTCATTTCCTTTACTCCAATATTTTCCAGAACATCAGTTTGGAATACAACACATCAAACTCTACAATTACCAATGGCAGCATCCCAAACCAATACCACACCAATCCCAATCTAGAATACAATGCATGGATTTTTACACATGCTAAACCAGCATTTCTAAGGTCGTATTACACCGATATATTCCCAGCAATGTCACACTGCAAATATACATTTCTTACTATGTCCAGGATGCAATGCATGAATGGGATAACCTCTTTAAATAGGCAGATACATTTTTCCTGATATTTACATCCAACTTTATCGGTTCTTATTTGTCAATATTGGGTCTACCGATAAATTTAATATTTTGGGGGTTAATTAATACTTCTATATCGGTATACTCCAATATATAATATACTTCAATATTTTCCAGAACAGCAGATGGGAATACAAAACATGAAGCTTAACAGTTACCACAGCAGCATCCCAAACCAATTCCACACCATACAATTTCATTCCATTTCCAATTTAGAATATGCATGAAACCCTGACAAACTAAACCAGCATTACATCAGTCTATTCCCAAAAATCCAGCATTTCAAACATTTATTTGAGACAATTCCCAGGATGGAATACAATGCATGAATAAGACACTAGGATTATTTCCTCATCAACGATCTTATGCAGTTCTTTATAGTTTATCAATATTGGGTCTACCAAAAAAAAGCATAATTTGGGGGAAATAATACTACTAATAATAACAACAACAATAATTATAATAATTATTATTATTGCTGTTACTACTAATACAACTAATACACTGCAAAAAAAAATTTTTTTTTTTGCAAAAATAATCAAAAATATCTGCCAATGGGGCAAGAAAAATATCCCATTGACAGATATTTTTGCTTGTTTTAAGCAAAAACTAACCAAATTTGGTTATATTTTTTTCAGAAAACAAGACATAATATCTTAAGTCATTTTACTTGTCAAATAAATGCATCCTGATTCAATAATTTTTAGATATTTATACTAGAAAACCAGACAAACATTCTAAGGAAGAAAATCATTTTTTGCAGTGTAATAATATCTATCAGTGCAGGTCATAAAAAACAATATCGGTAAATCGCTATCCATTAGTCCGATATTTTCCAGAAAAGCAGAACAACAGTTCCTGTGCCAGCATTCCTGACAAATATTGCAGACCACTGACAGGCTGCAATACAATACATGAAGCCCTGTATGTCTGAACATTTCACCTGCAGCTCTTTGTTAAGAAGTTTACCGCACTGTCGTGTTCAGATTCAACCACCGATCACTGTTCATATCGCTTTCGCTGCAAACCGCGACACATATATCGTGCTGAAATCTGTTCAGGCTAATTTTATTCCTTTGATTACATCTAAGCTGTATTGACTATCGCTTTAACTCAGTGTGTTGTCCTTTATGTGTATAAATGTCAAGGAAACCTCGAGCATTATCCGGCGGTGCACCGCTGCTTCCCTCCCCGGCGGACAGGCGCCTTACCTCGGCACGCAGCTCGGCGACGACCGGTCCACTTCCCAGGTGGCGTACAGGTTCATGTGCACCGGCCGATTGGAGGTGATCGCCACCGGTTTGGAGGGCTGCGGAGACGGTACGCCTCCAGTCCTCGGGAGCCCTCCCCGCTCCGACATGCTGGAGGAACCTTATGTTTGAAAACAATGAAGGAAAACCCGAATAAAACGGCTGTTTGTCGGAGCGCCGAGCCTCTACTGCAGCACAGTCATCCGTCCACGAGGACCGAGGCTCGGTTAGACCGATCGCGACGCGCGCTTCAACCCGCCGTTCACCGTCAGAGTCGCTGCGAATGTTTCTCAAGTTGCGCGAGTTGTTTATCGTTGCAGGAAGCGGAAATTTCTGTTTTTGCTCGCAGAGAAGCGCCACGGCCGAAGAGAGCAACGCCTCTTGTGAAAGACGAGCCCTCACAACCAACCCTTGAGAGAGAGAGAGCGAGAGAGAGAGAGAGAGAGAGCGAGAGAGACAGAGAGAGAGAGTGTGTTGATGGAAGGACATACCTGTCCTGCGAAATAAGAAAAGTCACAATATAATTTAAGATTTTAGTGGCTTGCGGCTGTCACTTTATAATATTTACAAAGAAATGTTTACATGCATACATAGCATGCATAAATAAATAAATAAATAAATAACACGCTTATCTTAAAATATAATAATATAGAATACACTAATAATATAATAAAAAGCTATATTTATATTGTGTTATAATATTTGCATGTATATATATATATAGGTCAAATTCGAGCCTATCCGAAATACACTAATATTATAAATATAAAAAATATAATTAATGCATATATAATTTATGAAAAATCAGTGGCTTGCAGCTGTCACTTTATAATATTTACAAGGAAATGTTTACATGCATACATGCATGCATGCATAAATAAATAAAACGTTTACCGAAAATATATATATATATATATAAAGTTTGGTGGACTTTCAGCATGTCATGTAGCTTTTTAAAAATTAATTAATTAATCTATTTATTTATTTTGTAAATCTATGAATAAAGTATAATCCAAAATATTTAACATTTAAAATTTCAATTAAATTTACTTTATTGTCATTGTACATAGTACAACTAATTTTTGTCTGGTGAGTCTCAGTTACAAACTAAACAAAAGAAAGAACCAACAATTGAAATCAACCAACAATAAATAATAAACAGCAGCAGTTGCATTACAAGTAACGCGAGTTACATAATCAGATTACTTTTTTCAAGTAACTAGTAAAGTAACGCATTACTTTTTAATTTACAAGAGAATATCGGAGTTACTCTTTCAAATACAGCAAGTTACTTTTTTTTCCCCAATGTATTGACTGACAGCCACAAGCAAGCCCTGTCCAGATTTAAAAAGAAACACAAAAGTAACGTAACGCATTACTTTCCATAAAAAGTAACTAAGTAACGTAATTAGTTACTTTTTTATGGAGTAACGCAATATTGTAATGCATTACTTTTAAAAGTAACTTTCCCCAACACTGCATATAAATATATGTGTGCTTTTAGCAGACGCTTTTATCCAAAATGGCTTAAAATATATGATGTGTTTTAAAGGTAGTGCAGGGTAAGAGGCCCATTGGATGTCATTTTCTCCTAAAATACAGCACAACAAAACCCACAGCAGCACTTTTCTAAGTGCCACAGATAATAGTTTAGTGTAAGTGGAGGGATGGATTTGTTGATGGATGTGTAAAGTGTTACCATATTTGTTGTTCCAGTAACAATGGAGATTTATGATATAAGCATGAACTAAAATTGCAGCTGTAAGAAATTCACCATTCAATAACAAATAACAGGACCCGCTGATAGAAAATACAATTTATACAATTTTATAAAACTCCAAAAGTGACTGAAATCAACCAGAAATTTCCTAAAATTGCATGCGTCTCAAAATCCTCACACGTTTTCTTTGCTCAGATTGTCTCACTCCATTATAAAGCCCTTTAGGAGCAGATAAAACACATTCAGGCCCACTGAACCGTCATTAAGAACTCATTAATTATTGATGGTTTTCAATGTGGGTCAAATTTGAGTTTCTCGTTAGCACTGCCAGCACAGTTTGTTCATGTCTGCTGGATTTATAGATGTCAGATATACAGTAAATCCACAGTAGAACTGCTTCATTCATATCGGTCTCAAACACAACACACTGTCAGTGACAATTTTGACATAGTTTATATTATATATTTACAGTAGATATAAAATATTCTTTCAGTGAATTTGAGTGAATGTGTCATATAGCTGTAATTTTTGCCACAAATTGTGGTTTGGAAAATTATAAATTTGACATAGGTCATAATTGATGTAAGTCACAATTATGAGATAAAAGTTGAAATTATGAGATATGAAGTCATAATTATGAGATAAAAAGTTGAACTTATGAGATCTAAAGTCAAAATTATGACAAAAATGTGAAATTATGAGATTTAAAGTCAAAATTGACAAAAATGTGAAATTATGAGATTTAAAGTCAAAATTGACAAAAATGTGAAATTATGAGATTTAAAGTCAAAATTGACAAAAATGGGAAATTATGAGATTTAAAGTCAAAATTATGAGATTTAATGTCAAAATTATGAGACAAGTTGAAATTATGAGATATAAAGTCATAATTATGAAATAAAAAGTTGAAATTGTGTGATATAAAGTCATAATTATGAGATAAAAAGTTGAACTTATGAGATTTAAAGTCAAAATTATGACAAAAATGTGAAATTATGAGATTTAAAGTCAAAATTATGACATAAAAATGTGAAATTAGGAGATTTAAAGTCAAAATTATGACATAAAAATGTGAAATTATGAGATTTAAAGTCAAAATTGTGATATAAAAGATTCTCGTTTACGTTTTATCGCATAATGCCAACCATTATGATAAAAATATAAGAATTATGAGATACTAAGTTACAACTGACAAAAAGTTGAAACTGACAAAAAGTGCTAAATTATGAAGTAAAAAGTGTATTTTGTATCACACATGTATCACTTTAAAATAAAAAAGAAATAATTTGATACATTATTAAATGTGCACATCTCATTAAGTTAAATCACTAAACTAAAATATAAAATTATTTAACGTATTATTAAATAAAAAATTCTTCTATTTTTGTTCTATTTTGTACATCTATCGGTCAACATTGTGAGCTAATAACAGTATTGCTATCAAATATTTCAGTTAATACAGTATTAAAGGCCGTTAATGGACACTGAGTTTGTCTAATGCAATTATTTAATCAGTCGGCCCGAGTCAAAATGTCCCGTTTACATGCTTCTGAATAAACATACAACCCATCACAACAGACACTTCAGGTCATCTGAGGACAACACTAACTCAGTGCTTAGTTGAGCTGGTCATGTGATCAGCCTCATTATAATGAGCCTGGATTATATGATATACACACGTCCACATCATCAGGACTGAGGGCCAATCAGAAACGACCCCTGTGTCACAGCAGGACGCCTGCGGGTATTCAAATCAAAGCGCTAATTAGTTGAGTCATTCCAATCTGTCCAACTTTTATGTGCAAAGTATGGAAGCCCACTTCTGCCACATAAGAAAAAAAAAACATGCTTTGATAAATCATAATTCTGACATGGATATAATTATGACCCTGTCTGTGAAATCCACGCTAAAGTCTCAAAATCTAATTATGAGATAAGCATCAAAGTTTGATTTCAACCATTAATTTCACTATGATTTCAATCTTTGACATGGCCCTACTCAGTCAATATTAAAGATATAAGGGTTATATTTTCACATAATGTTCTACGTGTTTATGAAGGATGATTTTATGTAGAAAACAGTAAATCACAAAAAAATGACTTTAGCTGGGTTTTCACAGGCAGGGTCACATTTATGACATAAAATTTCAAGAGTATGCTATTGTCATCGTTGACATAAGTCGTAATTATGAGATAAAAAGATGAAATTATAAGTCAAAATCATGACAAACGGTAAATAAAATAAAAAAATGAAGTTATTATTATGACAAAGTTAAAACTGACAAAAAAAGTCAAATTATGAGATAACGGTTGAAATTATGATTCATAATTATAACTTTTTCTAATAGGCCTAAGTTCAATTTCAAAACTTCAATCTCATAATTTCCACTTTAACTTTGTCATAATTGACTTTCTATCTTTTCATTTTTTAGTCAGAATTACTAGTTTTTGTCTCACTTTTACTTTGTCATAACTATGACTTTTTATCTCATAATTTCTACTTTGTCATAATTGACTTTCTATCTGGAGCTTAATTTTTTTCAGACTTTCTACTTTTTAAACCGTAACTGACTTCTCATAATTTTTGCCAATTTTTTTTGTCATAATTGTGACTGTCATAAGTGACATTCATTCTCAATCTTAATTTTTTGTGTGCCATAATTCCTTTATCTCCTATTGATAACTTAGAATTTTATAATTTAGATTTTTGAGTCATAAATATGACTATCTCATAATTTCAATTGTCATAATTGACTTTCTATCTTGTAGTTGAACTTCAAAATTTCGACTTTTTATGCTGTAGCTGACTTTAACTCAGTTTTTTTGGTCATAATTTAGAATTTGTCATAACTGACTTTCAATTTCAATTTAAGTTAAAAAAAAATTTCGCCATAATTCTTATCTCATTGATGACTTAGTATCTCATAATTGAGATTTACCAAAGCGTGATTTTTTTTTCTTTTGTGGCAGAAATGGGCTTCCATAAGGAAATGTGACTGGTGTTTAGTGTGCAAAGCTCCCTTCAATGAGTACCAGCACATCTTCCTGAATAAAACTCATGTCTCACTCATCAGAAATCATGAAACAAATGAAGACCTGAGATGATATTCGAGCTTGTAAAATGAAGACAGCGTTTGGACGACGTCTGGAATGTGGCAAATTGGATCTTGCCCACCAATGCGACGTGTTTGACGGGAAACGAGTGTGTTATTGTCTGAGCCGCTGTGTTTGAGTGTTTGTCTGCTCTCGACTGAGGTCAAGAGGCAGTGAAAGCGTTATGTAGGTCAAAACAAATCCCAGACATCAGGTGACGGTCAGACTTCCTGAAGACACTCTCACTCGCCCCCTGCTGGCCTGAGCGGCCCCCTGCAGACCGAAGATTAAACCTCAAATGCATTACAAATAAACAATGCAATGTTTCAAGTGGTTCAAGGTTAATCGATAGGGATGTTACAAAGTCAACACTCACAAAGATGAATTTCTTGTTAATTCAATATTTTAAGAGTTGAGCATGTCTACAAAAATAACTAATGTAACTATTCCTTAATCGGGTAAACCTAAAAAAAGTGGGTGACACATGGCAGAAATAAAATACCGTAACATCAGATTTTCATGGACTGCTATTTTATTTACAAAAACATCGAGCATAAATGAAAAACGTCGCTCACTGTCATGTGACGTACAAACACAAGGGCGCTTCTAC